CTTTTTAATTTTCCTTTGAAGAGCTTAAAAAAAAAAAAAAAAAACGCCGTTGCCGGGGATCGAACCCGGGTCTCCCGCGTGACAGGCGGGGATACTCACCACTATACTACAACGACTCGCGCGAAGAACAGGACAGTCACATATTACTATTTAAGTAAACCCAATCAAATGTGGATCATGGTTCGTGTGGCGATCTAATTGCAACTGAAACTAACATTTCATAGTCGGACAAAGTACCTGTTAGGTCCCTGTACTGTAGCGTTTTGTTCAATTTAGTTATTGTACCTTTATTTTGTGTAATCTAGTCCCGGTACTTTAAGATTTAGAACAATTAAGGACAACATTAACACCGATAATTTTTTTCTGTTAAGTTTTTTCTACGTTGCATTCGAACTGCCATGTCGGATTGTGCGATGTGGCATAAAAGAGTACAATACGGACAAAATATAGTTAATTGCTCCGACCTTAGCTCAGTTAGTAGAGCGGACGACTGTAGTTTGATTAATCTAAATTGGAAATCTTAGGTCGCTGGTTCGAATCCGGCAGGTCGGATTGATTTTTACAATATTAAGGCTTTTTAATTTTTCCTTTGAAGAGCTAAAAAAAGAAACGCTGTTGCGGGGATCGAACCCAGGTCTCCCGCGTGACAGGCGGGAATACTCACCACCAATGCTGCATAAAACGTTAGGCGCCCCTAGGCGCCGATTTTTTTATTTATTTTTTTTTAAATTTTTTTTAATTTTTAATAAAATTAAAAATTAAAATTTTTTAAATTTAGTAATAAAACATAAGGTTTCCATAGTTGTTTCTTAGAAACTATTTACGAAAGTGGTTTGTAAAATTGTTCAAAATATTGTTTTAACCATCTAAAATACATAAAAACTAAAATTAAGAAACTAAAGAGGCATTTTTTTGAGAAATTAGTGGACCAAACCGCCTTTGGCTGTTTGCGGTGTATAGATCTCGAAAAAATACGCGATTTGAAAAAAAAAATTTGACCAAATCAGACAACCGAGTTCAAAAGTTATGCCTTCGAAAACATTTTCGACATTTTCAAAATAAAAAAAAAAATTCGCCGAACCGGCCTGTTAGGCGGTCTATGCCATTCCTCCGCGGCGGCCTCCCACCGCCCAGCGCCTAGGCGCGATTTTGCAACACTGCTCACCACTATACTACAACGACTCGCGCGGCAGAACAGGACAGTCACATATTACTATTTAAGTAAACCCTATCCAATGTGACACCATGGTGCGTGTGGCCATGTAATTGCAACTGAAACTAGCATTTCATAGTCGGACAAAGTACCTGTTAGGTCCCCGTAGTGTAGCGTTTTGTTCAATTTAGTCATTGTACCTTTATTTCGTGTAATTTAGTCTATTTACTTTAAGATTTTGAACAATTAAGGACAATATTAACACCGATAATTTCTTCCGTTAAGTTTGTCCACGCGGCATTCGAACTGCCATGTCAGATTGTGCGATATGGCATAAAAGAGTATAAATCGGACAAAAATAATGTTAACAGCTCTGACCTTAGCTCAGTTGGTAGAGTGGTGGACTGTAGTTGGACTAATCTAAATTGGAAATCCTTAGGTCGCTGGTTTGATTCCGGCAGGTTGGATTGATGTTCTACAATATTAAGCTTTTTAATTTTTCCTTTGAAGAGCTTAAAAAAAAAAAAAAAAAAAAAAAAAAAAAAAAGACGCCGTTGCCGGGATCGAACCCGGGTCTCCGCGTGACAGGCGGGGATACTCACCACTATACTACAACGACTCGCGCGGCAGAACAGGACAGTCACATATTACTATTTAAGTAAACCCAATCAAATGTGGCATCATGGTTCGTGTGGCGATCTAATTGCAACTGAAACTAACATTTCATAGTCGGACAAAGTACCTGTTAGGTCCCTGTACTGTAGCGTTTTGTTCAATTTAGTTATTGTACCTTTATTTTGTGTAATCTAGTCCCGGTACTTTAAGATTTAGAACAATTAAGGACAACATTAACACCGGATAATTTTTTCTGTTAAGTTTTTTCTACGTTGCATTCGAACTGCCATGTCGGATTGTGCGATGTGGCATAAAAGTGTACAATACGGACAAAAATATAGTTAATTGCTCCGACCTTAGCTCAGTTAGTAGAGCGGACGACTGTAGTTTGATTAATCTAAATTGGAAATGCTTAGGTCGCTGGTTCGAATCCGGCAGGTCGGATTGATTTTTTACAATATTAAGCTTTTTAATTTTTCCTTTGAAGAGCTAAAAAAAAACGCTGTTGCCGGGGGATCGAACCAGGTCTCCCGCGTGACAGGCGGGAATACTCACCACCAATGCTGCATAAAACGTTAGGCGCCCCCTAGGCGCCGATTTTTTTATTTATTTTTTTAATTTTTTTATTTTTAATAAAATTAAAAATTAAAATTTTTAAATTTAGTAATAAAACATAAGGTTTCCAGTAGTTGTTTCTTAGAAACTATTTACGAAAGTGGTTGTAAAATTGTTCAAAATATTGTTTTAACCATCTAAATACATAAAAAACTAAAATTAAGAACTAAAGAGGCATTTTTTTGAGAAATTAGTGGACCAAACCGCCTTCGGCTGTTTGCGGTGTATAGATCTCGAAAAAATACGCGATTTGAAAAAAAAATTTGACCAAATCAGACAACCGAGTCAAAAGTTATGCCTTCCAAAACATTTTCGACATTTTCAAAAAAAAAAAAAAAAATTCGCCGAACCGGCCGGTTAGGCGGTCTATGCCATTCCTCGCGGCGGCCTCCCACCGCCAGCGCCTAGGCGCGATTTTTTGCAACACTGCTCACCACTATACTACAACGACTCGCGCGGCAGAACAGGACAGTCACATATTACTATTTAAAGTAAACCCTATCCAATGTGACACCATGGTGCGTGTGGCCATGTAATTGCAACTGAAACTAGCATTTCATAGTCGGACAAAGTACCTGTTAGGTCCCCGTAGTGTAGCGTTTTGTTCAATTTAGTCATTGTACCTTTATTTCGTGTAATTTAGTCTATTTACTTTAAGATTTTGAACAATTAAGGACAATATTAACACCGATAATTTCTTCCGTTAAGTTTGTCACGCGGCATTCGAACTGCCATGTCAGATTGTGCGATATGGCATAAAAGAGTATAAATCGGACAAAAATAATGTTAACAGCTCTGACCTTAGCTACAGTTGGTAGAGTGGTGGACTGTAGTTGGACTAATCTAAATTGGAAATCCTTAGTCGCTGGTTTGATTCCGGCAGGTTGGATTGATGTTCTACAATATTAAGCTTTTTAATTTTTCCTTTGAAGAGCTTAAAAAAAAAAAAAAAAAAAAAAAAAAAAAGACGCCGTTGCCAGGGATCGAACCCGGTCTCCGCGTGACAGGCGGGATACTCACCACTATACTACAACGACTCGCCGGCAGAACAGGACAGTCACATATTACTATTTAAGTAAACCCAATCAAATGTGGATCATAGTTCGTGTGGCGATCTAATTGCAACTGAAACTAACATTTCATAGTCGGACAAAGTACCTGTTAGGTCCCTGTACTGTAGCGTTTTGTTCAATTTAGTTATTGTACCTTTATTTGTGTAATCTAGTCCCGGTACTTTAAGATTTAGAACAATTAAGGACAACATTAACACGATAATTTTTTCTGTTAAGTTTTTTTCTACGTTGCATCGAACTGCCATGTCGGATTGTGCGATGTGGCATAAAAGAGTACAATACGGACAAAAATATAGTTAATTGCTCGACCTTAGCTCAGTTAGTAGAGCGGACGACTGTAGTTTGATTAATCTAATTGGAAATCCTTAGGTCGCTGGTTCGAATCCGGCAGGTCGGATTGATTTTTTACAATATTAAGCTTTTTAATTTTTCCTTTGAAGAGCTAAAAAATGAAACGCTGTTGCGCCGGGATCGAACCCAGGTCTCCCGCGTGACAGCGAGAATACTCACCACCAATGCTGCCATAAAACGTTAGGCGCCCCTAGCGCCGATTTTTTATTTATTTATTTTTAATTTTTTTAATTTTTAATAAAATTAAAAATTAAAATTTTTAAATTTAGTAATAAAACATAAGGTTTCCATAGTTGTTTCTTAGAAACTATTTACGAAAGTGGTTGTAAAAATTGTTCAAAATATTGTTTTAACCATCTAAATACATAAAAAACTAAAATTAAGAACTAAAGAGGCATTTTTTTGAGAAATTAGTGGACCAAACCGCCTTTGGCTGTTTGCGGTGTATAGATCTCGAAAAAATACGCGATTTGAAAAAAAAAATTTGACCAAATCAGACAACCGAGTCAAAAGTTATGCCTTCCAAAACAGTTTTCGACATTTCAAAAAAAAAAAAAAAATTCGCCGAACCGGCCGGTTAGGCGGTCTATGCCATTCCTCGCGGCGGCCTCCCACCGCCCAGCGCCTAGGCGCGATTTTTGCAACACTGCTCACCACTATACTACAACGACTCGCGCGGCAGAACAGGACAGTCACATATTACTATTTAAGTAAACCCTATCCAATGTGACACCATGGTGCGTGTGGCCATGTAATTGCAACTGAAACTAGCATTTCATAGTCGGACAAAGTACTGTTAGGTCCCCGTAGTGTAGCGTTTTGTTCAATTTAGTCATTGTACCTTTATTTCGTGTAATTTAGTCTATTTACTTTAAGATTTTGAACAATTAAGGACAATATTAACACCGATAATTTCTTCCGTTAAGTTTGTCCACGCGGCATTCGAACTGCCATGTCAGATTGTGCGATATGGCATAAAAGAGTATAAATCGGACAAAAATAATGTTAACAGCTCTGACCTTAGCTCAGTTGGTAGAGTGGTGGACTGTAGTTGGACTAATCTAAATTGGAAATCCTTAGGTCGCTGGTTTGATTCCGGCAGGTTGGATTGATGTTCTACAATATTAAGCTTTTTAATTTTTCCTTTGCAGAGCTTAAAAAAAAAAAAAAAAAAAAAAAAAAAAAAAAAAAGACGCCGGTTGCCGGGGATCGAACCCGGGTCTCCCGCGTGACAGGCGGGGATACTCACCACTATACTACAACGACTCGCGCGGCAAAATAGGACAGTCACATATTACTATTTAAGTAAACCCAATCAAATGTGGCAATCATGGTTCGTGTGGCGATCTAATTGGCAACTGAAACTAACATTTCATAGTCGGACAAAGTACCTGTTAGGTCCCTGTACTGTAGCGTTTTGTTCAATTTAGTTATTGTACCTTTATTTTGTGTAATCTAGTCCCGGTACTTTAAGATTTAGAACAATTAAGGACAACATTAACACCGATAATTTTTTCTGTTAAGTTTTTTTCTACGTTGCATCGAACTGCCATGTCGGATTGTGCGATGTGGCATAAAAGAGTACAATACGGACAAAAATATAGTTAATTGCTCCGACCTTAGCTCAGTTAGTAGAGCGGACGACTGTAGTTTGATTAATCTAAATTGGAAATCCTTAGGTCGCTGGTTCGAATCCGGCAGGTCGGATTGATTTTTTACAATATTAAGCTTTTTAATTTTTCCTTTGAAGAGCTAAAAAAGAAAACGCTGTTGCCGGGGATCGAACCCAGGTCTCCCAGCGTGACAGGCGGGAATACTCACCACCAATGCTGCATAAAACGTTAGGCGCCCCCTAGGCGCCGATTTTTTTATTTTTTTTTTTTAATTTTTTAATTTTTAATAAAATTAAAATTAAAATTTTTTAAAATTTAGTTAATAAAACATAAGGTTTCCATAGTTGTTTCTTAGAAACTATTTACGAAAGTGGTTGTAAAATTGTTCAAAATATTGTTTTAAACCATCTAAATACATAAAAAACTAAAATTAAGAACTAAAGAGGCATTTTTTGAGAAATTAGTGGACCAAACCGCCTTTGGCTGTTTGCGGTGTATAGATCTCGAAAAAATACGCGATTTGAAAAAAAAAATTTGACCAAATCAGACAACCGATTCAAAAGTTATGCCTTCGAAAACATTTTCGACATTTTCAAAAATAAAAAAAAAAATTCGCCGAACCGGCCTGTTAGGCGGTCTATGCCATTCCTCGCGGCGGCTCCCACCGCCCCCCGCCTAGGCGCGATTTTTGCAACACTGCTTACCACTATACTACAACGACTCGCGCGGCAAACAGGACAGTCACATATTACTATTTAAGTAAACCCTATCCAATGTGACACCATGGTGCGTGGTGGCCATGTAATTGCAACTGAAACTAGCATTTCATAGTCGGACAAAGTACCTGTTAGGTCCCCGTAGTGTAGCGTTTTGTTCAATTTAGTCATTATACCTTTATTTCGTGTAATTCAGTCTATTTACTTTAAGATTTTGAACAATTAAGGACAATATTAACACCGATAATTTCTTCCGTTAAGTTTGTCCACGCGGATTTCCGAACTGCCATGTCAGATTTGTGCGATATGGCATAAAAGAGTATAAATCGGACAAAAATAATGTTAACAGCTCTGACCTTAGCTCAGTTGGTAGAGTGGTGGACTGTAGTTAGACTAATCTAAATTGGAAATCCTTAGGTCGCTGGTTTGATTCCGGCAGGTTGGATTGATGTTCTACAATATTAAGCTTTTTAATTTTTCCTTTGCAAGAGCTTAAAAAAAAAAAAAAAAAAAAAAAAAACGCCCGTTGCCGGGGATCGAACCCGGGTCTCTCGCGTGACAAGCGGGGATACTCACCACTATACTACAACAGACTCGCGCAGCAAAACAGGACAGTCACATATTACTATTTAAGTAAACCCAATCAAATGTGGCATCATGGTTCGTGTGGCGATCTAATTGCAACTGAAACTAACATTTCATAGTCGGACAAAGTACCTGTTAGGTCCTGTACAGTAGCGTTTTGTTCAATTTAGTTATTGTACCTTTATTTTGTGTAATCTAGTCCCGGTACTTTAAGATTAGAACAATTAAGGACAACATTAACACCGATAATTTTTTCTGTTAAGTTTTTTTCTACGTTGCATTCGAACTGCCATGTCGGATTGTGCGATGTGGCATAAAAAGTGTACAATACGGACAAAAATATAGTTAATTGCTCCGACCTTAACTCAGTTAGTAGAGCGGAGGACTGTAGTTGGATTAATCTAAATTGGAAATGCCTGAGGTCGCTGGTTCGAATCCTGCAGGTCGGATTGATTTTTTACAATATTAAGCTTCTTAATTTTTCCTTTGAAGAGCTAAAAAAAAAACGCTGTTGCCGGGGATCGAACCCAGGTCTCCCACGTGACAGCGGGAATACTCACCACCAATGCTGCATAAAAACGTTAGGCGCCCCCTAGGCGCCGATTTTTTTTTTTTTTTTTTTATTTTTATAAAATTAAAAATTAAAATTTTTTAAATTTAGTAATAAAACATAAGGTTTCCGTAGTTGTTTCTTAGAAACTATTTACGAAAGTGGTTTGTAAAATTGTTCAAAATATTGTTTTAACCATCTAAATACATAAAAAACTAAAATTAAGAACTAAAGAGGCATTTTTTTTGAGAAATTAGTGGACCAAACCGCCTTTGGCTGTTTGCGGTGTATAGATCTCGAAAAAATACACGATTTGAAAAAAAAATTTTGACCAAATCAGACAACCGAGTCAAAAGTTATGCCTTCCAAAACATTTTCGACATTTAAAAAAAAAAAAAAAAAATTCGCCGAACCGGCCGGTTAGGCGGTCTATGCCATTCCTCGCGGCGGCCTCCCACGCCCAGCGCCTAGGCGCGATTTTTGCAACACTGCTCACCACTATACTACAACGACTCGCGCGGCAGAACAGGACAGTCACATATTACTATTTAAGTAAACCCTATCCAATGTGACACCATGGTGCGTGTGGCCATGTAATTGCAACTGAAACTAGCATTTCATAGTCGGACAAAGTACCTGTTAGGTCCCCGTAGTGTAGCGTTTTGTTCAATTTAGTCATTGTACCTTTATTTCGTGTAATTTAGTCTATTTACTTTAAGATTTTGAACAATTAAGGACAATATTAACACCGATAATTTCTTCCGTTAAGTTTGTCCACGCGGCATTCGAACTGCCATGTCAGATTGTGCGATATGGCATAAAAGAGTATAAATCGGACAAAAATAATGTTAACAGCTCTGACCTTAGCTCAGTTGGTAGAGTGGTGGACTGTAGTTGGACTAATCTAAATTGGAAATCCTTAGGTCGCTGGTTTGATTCCGGCAGGTTGGATTGATGTTCTACAATATTAAGCTTTTTAATTTTTCCTTTGAAGAGCTTAAAAAAAAAAAAAAAAAAAAAAAAAAAACGCGTTGCCGGGGATCGAACCCGGGTCTCCCGCGTGACAGCGGGGATACTCACCACTATACTACAACGACTCGCCGCAGCCAGAACAGGACAGTCACATATTACTATTTAAGTAAACCCAATCAAATGTGGCATCATGGTTCGTTGGCGATCTAATTGCCAACTGAAACTAACATTTCATAGTCGGACAAAGTACCTGTTAGGTCCCTGTACTGTAGCGTTTTGTTCAATTTAGTTATTGTACCTTTATTTTGTGTAATCTAGTCCCGGTACTTTAAGATTTAGAACAATTAAGGACAACATTAACACCGATAATTTTTTCTGTTAAGTTTTTTCTACGTTGCATTCGAACTGCCATGTCGGATTGTGCGATGTGGCATAAAAGAGTACAATACGGACAAAAATATAGTTAATTGCTCCGACCTTAGCTCAGTTAGTAGAGCGGACGACTGTAGTTTGATTAATCTAAATTGGAAATCCTTAGGTCGCTGGTTCGAATCCGGCAGGTCGGATTGATTTTTTACAATATTAAGCTTTTTAATTTTTCCTTTGAAGAGCTAAAAAAAAACGCTGTTGCCGGGGATCGAACCCAGGTCTCCCGTGACAGGCGGGAATACTCACCACCAATGCTGCATAAAACGTTAGGCGCCCCCTAGGCGCCGATTTTTTTTATTTTATTTTTTTTATTTTTAATAAAATTAAAAATTAAAATTTTTTAAATTTAGTAATAAAACATAAGGTTTCCATAGTTGTTTCTTAGAAACTATTTACGAAAGTGGTTGTAAAATTGTTCAAAATATTGTTTTAACCATCTAAATACATAAAAAACTAAAATTAAGAACTAAAGAGGCATTTTTTTGAGAAATTAGTGGACCAAACGCCTTTGGCTGTTTGCGGTGTATAGATCTCGAAAAAATACGCGATTTGAAAAAAAATTTGACCAAATCAGACAACCGAGTCAAAAGTTATGCCTTCCAAAACATTTTCGACATTTTCAAAAAAAAAAAAAAAATTCGCCGAACCGGCCGGTTAGGCGGTCTATGCCATTCCTCGCGGCGGCCTCCCACCGCCAGCGCCTAGGCGCGATTTTTGCAACACTGCTCACCACTATACTACAACGACTCGCGCGGCAGAACAGGACAGTCACATATTACTATTTAAGTAAACCCTATCCAATGTGACACCATGGTGCGTGTGGCCATGTAATTGCAACTGAAACTAGCATTTCATAGTCGGACAAAGTACCTGTTAGGTCCCCGTAGTGTAGCGTTTTGTTCAATTTAGTCATTGTACCTTTATTTCGTGTAATTTAGTCTATTTACTTTAAGATTTTGAACAATTAAGGACAATATTAACACCGATAATTTCTTCCGTTAAGTTTGTCCACGCGCATTCGAACTGCCATGTCAGATTGTGCGATATGGCATAAAAGAGTATAAATCGGACAAAAATAATGTTAACAGCTCTGACCTTAGCTCAGTTGGTAGAGTGGTGGACTGTAGTTGGACTAATCTAAATTGGAAATCCTTAGGTCGCTGGTTTGATTCCGGCAGGTTGGATTGATGTTCTACAATATTAAGCTTTTTAATTTTTCCTTTGAAGAGCTAAAAAAAAAAAAACGCCGTTGCCGGGGATCGAACCCGGGTCTCCCGCGTGACAGGCGGGGGATACTCACACTATACTACAACGACTCGCGCGCAGAAAGGACAGTCACATATTACTATTTAAGTAAACCCAATCAAATGTGGCATCATGGTTCGTGTGGCGATCTAATTG